TTTCCTGACCCCTGTCAGAATAGGGGTCAGTGCATGATCTTTTCTCCTCCCAGGGTCATGGAGGCTGACTGGGATGAGACTTCTCTTGTCCCTCTTGGGCACGTCCTCACATGCAGGGGCATGCACTTGCAGTGGGGAAAAAGTAGCAGCAAAAATTTGTGCCGCTCCTTTTTGATGCTACACATGCCTCTGCATGTGTGCTTTGGTGTGGGGCAAAATGCCCCACTTCGGGGAAACTGCCCTTGCCCTGCTCCTCCCAGCTCCCACAGTGCTGGAGGAGCCAAGGGACAACTACAGAAGGGGACATGCTCTGGTTGGCAGCCAGAACGTTTCCCGGGAGAATTGAGCCTCTGTGCCTGCTGCCTTTTTTTTTGGTGAGGGTTTTTTTGTGCTGATTTCCCAGTAGCAAATTTTGCCCTGTGCTGCAAATTTGCAGTGTGGGGCATGTTTTAACATGCTGGGCTTGTAGTTTGTGGCAACACACAGAGCTTTGCAGTGCTACTAACTGCATGTGCCTGCACATCTGGATCCAGCCCTTGTGGTCACAGTCAAGAGGATGAAGGTTGGACTTTTCCCTATGACTGCCTCTGCCAGCTGCATCAGTTGTTGTTTTCCTCCCAGCTGAACAGAGTGCCCACTTCCCCATACTAGCTCCATGGGGGAGTGCTGAAGCAGTGTTGCATGTCTTCCCTTTTACCTCTTACATCCTTCTTGCCACAGGGTAAAAGACATGTATATGCAGGATGACACTGTAATCCCCTCTTGCCTGAAAGGCATGTGGTGAAGGTGTGCCCTCATCACTTCCTATGGATACATCCCTGGTGATGATGGGTATGAGCTAATGAATGGACCCAATGCTCTGACAAGAGTGAACAATGGCTTAACAATGCTGCAATGTCTTTTGGATACTCCACACTTTGTGGCTGTGGAGTCAGCTAGCAAGCAGCTTGTGCTTCATTGGCCTCCCCATCTTCCCCTCCCGTTCCAGGCAGGGGAAGATCCAAAGGGGGTGTGGTAATGTTTTCACAACCCTCTCTTCACAGCATAGCATGGCAGCTCCAGTTCTTCATAGTGCCATAAAGCTGGGCCCCCTGCAGATTCCAAACTATGCTCTAGGAGAGGAGTCAGACATTTTTATAGCCCCAGAGCAGGTAAAAATCCCCTCTCTCGTTACCCCTCCATTCCCCTCCATGCTCAGAAGTACAACTCCTCCACTCCCATTTTCCCCCTGCCTACTTAAGTCTCTTGGTTTGGGAAGAGGAGAACCACTTGCCACTGCTGCTGTCTCTAGCTGAACCAGTGTCAGGAGAAGCCCCAGAACCTCTCCTGTCCCACTGTGTGCGGGGGCTTGGCTCAGCTGGGGATAGTGGCAGTGGTGGCAGTGGGCAGGCTCTCCCTTTCTGCCCAGTCACCTGGATGTTCCGTACAAGCCTGGGAGTATAGAGAGGAAAGGAAGGTATGCCAAAAGTGAGGGGCAATTCTTACCGTATTCAGGGGCTTAAAGAATTAAAGTGCCCAGCTGGTGCTCCAGGGATGTGGTCTGTTTGTCCTGGTGGGCAGGGAGGTCAGAAATTAGCTGGGTGCGGCCACCCTGCAGCACTGGTTGCTGCTCCCACACCCTGCTTTTCAAAACTCTGGAACGGTCTATGGTTCTATGGTAGATAAAATGGTGGGAACAGCATGGTACCCATTATGTTACTGAAACAAAGTATGCCTGCACATCACTATTGGCCTAATGCAGCCTGTCAGCACTGACATCTTCCAACAAGTGAGAATTGCTTGTAGACAGCCTTAATAGTAGCTAAGTAGCTTGAGAAGCAATGACTTGTCATTGCCCTCTGTTGATTCACTGATAATATAATTGCTGGATGCTACAGTTGCATAGCCTAAAAGGTACACCATTAGTCAGGAATCCATTGAAGATGCCTGGAAATGTGATGTACAGTGGGTGCATTTACACATGCAAATGCTGCTGGATGCACCCTGGGCAGGCACCTACATGTACACCCATTTGAGAGCAGATTTGCTGCTCCTGGAAGCAGTCTGCCCTTGCCCCCTCTGGCCCTACACCAGCCCCTTGCAGCAGCCAGGGGGAGCTCTAGGCTCCCCCTGGGTGCTAGCCGAGGGGCTGTCAGGGAGCACAGGGCCAGGAGATGGCTGTCTTCTGGCAGGGACTGGGAGGGTGCTGTCTGCTTCCAGGAGCTGCCTGCTGCTGGGTAGGCTCTGGTGACAGAGCCTGGGTGGGGATGATGTCCCCCTGCCCCAGCAGCAAGCATCTCCCAGCCCTGGCTCCCTGACTGAGGGCTTATAAAGAGCTGCAGGGGAGGGGCAAGTCCCAGTCCCCTGGCCTGATCGCCCAGTGGGGTAGCTAGCAGTGAGTCCCCAGCTGAGTGGGGATTCTCCACCTAGCCAGGGGCTCACTGTTAGCTGCCCAACTGGCAGATCAGGGCAAGGGGCTGGGACCTGCCTCTTCCCCACAGCTCTTTCCAAGACCCATTCCTCAATCGCCCAATTGGAGCATGTGGGTGGGAAAAAGCTGCAGGGCTGGGGGTAGTTCCTGGCCAGTTCTGGGCTGCATGGGGAAGTCTGCACATGCAGCCTGGACCTGGCTGGGGACTGCCTGAAATGAGACAGTCCTCAGCCACGCTGCAGCTAAGGGGCAGATCCCCACCAGCCCCAGGCTGGGTGGGAAACTCTCTCTGTGCAGGGAGCTCCTTGCCCCAGCTCTGCGATTACAGAGTGCGAGATTGTTACTTGCCTTGAGTGCAGAGCTGGGGCAGGGAGCTCCCTGCCACTGGAGCAGGGGGCCATTGTTGCTGCCCAGGGTCCAGTGGCAGAGCCGCCCCGGCAGCAAGTAGCTCCTGGGGGCAGCGGGCAATCTCCCACCCCCTGCTGCCCGGCTGACCAAGAGCACATTTGCTCCTGGTCAACTGTCTACACATGCCTTACTGTGCATTAATTACTCTGTAGTTAATTTGCTATTCGCATTTGCAGGTAGCAAATTAACTACCAAGTAGAGCAAACTATCAGGCAGTAAAGGTCTGCACCTGTAGATGCAGTTGCTTACTATGCAGTAATTTGCTGTACTGCACAGTAAAGCATTTCTGTAGACATGCCCAGTGTAATGGTAAATAACAATGGGCAGATTGATTACAGATCAAAAGGAACAGGAAACCAAATACTCTGCATGTGTTCTCCCATGTAAAAATAACCCTGATACTACATTGATCCTTAGTGGGTGTGTCTACATGAGATGCTTTACTGCACATTAGACTAATGCGCTGTAAAGCAGCACCATCTACACATGTGCAACAATTACTGCGCAAAATATTAGTCTAATGTGCCATTTTCTAGTACCTATAGATACAGATACTAGAAAAATGGTGCATTAACTAATGTGCCGCACCACACATGTAGATGCTGATGCAATTTGCTCCCAGTCAGCCTAGGCAGCAAGGAGCCACAAGGGGCAGGGGGAGCTGTCTCAGTTGGCAGGACACTGCTTGCTAGCCTGGCTGGGAGGGAGTTCCTCCCTCTTCTCCCCACTTTCCCCCCTGTAACCTGATCTCCCCACAGCTAGGACAGAACCGCAGGCTGAGTCAGGACAGCTCCCTCCACCCTTTGGTGCTTGGGGCTAAGCCATGGGGGGTCTGGAGCTCCCCCTGGCTGCTGCAGGGGGGGAGAGCAGGGCAGGAGCCACCTTGGACTGAACTGTTCCTGTTGGGCTCAGTTTGTTCCTGATCGGGGTGCACATGTAGATATGCACCGGGGAGCACTTTAATGAGCCTGAATTTTCTGTGCGTAAAATTTAAGCACGTTAATTGCACATGTAGACATGCCCAGTTTATCCTATTGTGTACACCTCCCAAATCACTCCCATGTGATACCCACCATAGCCTAGTAACTTATTTATGTTTTCACAATTGCCTTAGTTATGCCACATTGTCTGAACCACTCTGTTCTTTCAGCCTTTCTAATATTTCATATCTATTTGGCACTGCAATCACCATTATATATGTCTCTGTTTGTGTGCACGGGAGAAGTACAAGCAATTTAAACTACTTGGCCTTGTTGAGACTTCTTTTTCTATACTGCACTATCGTTTTATACAGGTAGGCCTTGCTGTGCATGCAGAACCAATGAAATGGGAAAATCATTATGTTCTCTTGCTGGGAACATGACAATGTTTGCTCTTTAGTGAAATCTGGATTGTTTGTAAACTATTTTGTGCAACTTTAAGTATTACCTTCAGGCAAACAATGAAAAAGTATTAAGAGCTTGCTCTTCCAAGTAAAATGGAAATATATCAATATGGGAGACCAGAGAGAGAGAGAGAGAGAGAGAGAGAGATTTGCATAGGTTAGAAAAGGTCATTAAAGCATCTGGCGGTAGTAACTGACATGTGTCAATTTGTAATGTTAATGAAATGTGTATTAATTCAAAAACCCGTTCTTAAGCTTCAAATGCCACTTTTGTTTGCTGTGTTCTCCTAGTTGATGGTGATGACTTTTCAGAACTGTACCGTGCTTGTTTGCTCACTAGTGGCATCTGACCTGAGGTCAGACTTCTATTTAACCCTTTCCTGTAGGTCAAAAAACAAATTAATCTGGTGAGAACTGAATTGGAAATGAGGTGTCTGGATAACAGGTGTCCCACTTTTTGAATAGCTGACAGGCTGAAACATGTTTATATCTGTCCTTATGCCATTCAGTAAGTCATCTCTGGGGTCAGAGAGCCATGCATGAGATATGTGAGATGGATAGTTGCCAAAGGGAGTGATAGTAACAGGTGCCTCATACTAGAATATGAATTTGCTGATTTGGGGATACTTTCTGAGATGGATTTTGTTGGAGGATTGGTTCATTTATATCTGTTATACACTTTATTATGCATATGTTCACTGTCAATATATTTAGCGGTTACAAGATGCCGAAGCAGACTTCTGCCTGAGCCCTGAAGAAACATAGTGTCACCATCCTTCTTAATTTATTTTTTTCTAGAGGATGAGGATGATGAAGAGATGGTGGAACCGAAAGCACAGAATGACTCAGAAATGGAAAATCAAGAGCAGAAACAGGAAGTCAAAGAAGGTATGTAAAAGATGTAACAAAATCCATTTTTATTGGTCGAGCCCTTCAAATAATTACTGTCACATATAATGCTCACTATCACAGATAATCCTGAGTAGTAGACTAAGTATTATGAAAAAGTTACGAAGTTCCTTTGATTCATCACTTGATTAGGGCATAGAATCAGTACATCTGATAAAGTACTTGAAGAGTAAAGCTTGCTCTTCCAAGCAAAATGGAACTGTGTCAGAATGGGAGACCAGAGAGAGGGATTTGCATAGGTCAGAAAAGCTCATTAAAACATCTGGCAGTAGTAACTGGGGACCAGCTAGTAGATCTCAGAAACTTGTGAATGTTTCAAAATCTAGTTTCCTTAGTAGAGGTCTGATAGTCCATTTGCTTTTGCAGAGAAGATGTGACCTCATGACAAGGGGAAACAATTTGGATCTCCCAGTTCCAGTTCTGCCATAACTTGCTTTCTGACCTGTCTGGTCAGTTCTGTCAGAATTTTCCAATCTGTGTTTACAGTTTAGGCATCCAGATAAAATAGGCCTCAAAGATATTCAGTACCTACAACTCTGCATATGTTTGAAAATTCTGGGATTTTCCAACAAAAACTATTTAGTTGGAAACTGTTGATTTGTCAAAAGAAAACTTTTTTTGTGGGAATTTACATACCACCATAATCCATGGATTTTCTGGTTAAAATTTAAACAAGAAAGACTTACTTCCTCCACCCCCAGAACAGCCAGTAACCTAGTGGCTGGGACATTTGCCCAGGAAATACTAGCTTTATTGCACTCCACTACTTTTACTACTCTCACTCCTACTACTACTAATAACAACAATTAATAGCCATGTAAAGTGGTGTCAGTAGCAATCTGGTATGATGTTTTGTTACCAACAGCATAAGCAAGTACATTTTTTTAAACTCATTCTGTGTGCTGTACCAAGAATTTTCAGTAAGTTGCTGAATACCATGTAAAATGTTCAATTTACATTTATACATATTCCCTTGCATTTCCACATAAAGGGGATCCCACTGTTTATATCTGAAATCAAGACGAGGGAGAGACTGTATTAATGAGTGAATAGAAGGGAAAAAAATTACACAGAATCCTAAAAATATCTATTTATTTTAGTTTTTCACATGCTTGCAAGTGAGCCCTTTGTGTTGTTATAGCTGAATGAGTGCCATCACTAACATCATCTCTTTCTTTGTTATAGTTTAGTCTAGTGGAAGTGCTTCATATTGCCACTGGCTCCCTCCCTTGTCTAGCAGTAGCTATGCAAAATTTTGGTAGCAGTGGTCTCTATGACACGTCAAAATTTAAAGTCAAGCAATGTACTTGCTTCAGCCTTGTGGGTTGCTAATAAAAAGTGGGTTCAATGGAAAAATCTGCTCGTACCCCCTAGAAAACATACTTGTTAATGATATAGCTAAGATAAAATAGAAACACATGGATGACTAACATTAAATGCTGTGAGCTGAAGTAATCTTTGGAAATTTGACTGAGAATGGAATAATAATGTTGACATGCTTAGTGCAGTTCTCTGCCTTTTCCCTCTTCAGATCAGTTTTTCTCTCCAATGTAATCACCCTTCTCATGTTCTGAGCAACACTCAGAGTTTGAAACCATCGTTTGTGTTTCATGGAAGTGATTAAAACCATGTTATAAGTCAAACAAGAGTTTAGAGGAACATTTCCTGTCAGTACTGCACTCTGTGTGCTGGATTCAGAATTAATGGCTTTTCTGCAAATTAGCACATAATGGGTTAAAAGCATATTTATGTTGGCATTAAGTACTCTGGCTTCTTTTTTTCTGTAAGGCAAGACAATATTTTGCAAACTTTTTAAAGAATCTCTAATAGATATTATAGTGGCGCCATTCACACGGCTATATGGTAGTTAAGGCTGTGTCAGCACTTCCATTATGAATCCTGTTTTTCAGGGATTTATAACCCAGCCATAAAAATTTGCTCAGGGCTGAAATTTGGTTTCAGCTCAGGGAGCACATTTTTAACAGACAAAAAAAAATCAACTTGGCTTTTTTTGAGTTATAGAAGTGTTAAAAAAATCATGAGAGAGGGGAGAAGAGAGACAGACTTTTTTTTTTATATGTATACCTCAAAAATAGGTTGAGTATACAAAATATAAAAGCTTAGATCCACTCCTTAAGTTTAATTTTCCTCAAAGTCATTGGGGTAACAGTGCTTTATTTTATCAGAGGCACTTTAATAAGAAATCTGAGTTTTTCTCCATGTATTACAGCTGCTCCTGTTGGGTGCATACTTATATAGGTACTTACTTTTACTCACTGGAGTAATGCCACTGGTTTCCATGGGGCTACTCAATGTGTGTAAATATCTGCAAGATTAGCAAGTATTATTGGATTGGTTCATTATTATTATTATTGGATTGGTCTATAGAAGATGCTGTGTTGCCGTAGCGGTGAGCTACGGTGATGTGTGGGCACTAACCATGACATTGCCGCTACTGCACAGTAGCAATGAGCTACTGCACAGTAGCTTGTTGCTACTGCACAGTAGGGTTCAAAATGACCCGTGTACTGCTGGGACTTCACAGTACCAACTGCTCAGTCAGGGGCATGTGTAGATGCACCCGGTGACAACAAAGGATACAATTCACCTGCAGTATAAAGGGCCTGTACAATGACCTATACATCACCTAACTTTGCATGAGGACTGAAGTAGTATACCAAACACACTGGCAGGATGGTGATGTCTGAGTGTATTTGTCAAGAAGAGGGTTATTGCACTGACTTAGTAAAGAAGCCCATAATGGGGAAGGTTGCTATTTGAATCTGTGAAGGTACATTGTGCCCTTCTCAGAGCACACAGCTGGCACACAGGAACTACTACCAGAAGTGCAATTGCAGCTTGTTTAGACATAATGAAGCTGGCTTTAATCTATCTTGCTTGAGTACCACCAGCAGTGAGTGCAACTATGGTATCTGAGAGCTATAGATTCACTAGGGTTTTATTGTGCAAACATGATCTCAGTTTGGCCTCATGTCTCCAGAGCAGTGTGGGACAATAACATTAGGCTGTGTATAGAATAATGTATAGAATAGATAAAAAAAATAATTTGGAATATATAGATATGTGGACTGTATATATCTATATACATATACATACATACATATATATGTGTGTGTGTGTGTGTGTGTGTAAATATTTTCTCCTTGCATGGAAGAAAAAGTGAGTTGTCCCTGGAAACCAAAATGAAATGTGTGGGTATTTGGTGTCATACTTAGGTATGACACCAAAAAATTACTTTTAAAAACAACAAAAATTGAACAGATCTGAAGGCAAGAGACTTACTCAACATGTAGCTATGAAAAATTATGGCTTTTTATTACTTTACAACTGTATTAAAATGATCCTTCACAATCTTCTTTTGCATGTCAAGACTTTTCCCCATAAATGTAAACACGATGCTTGAATGTAACAGAAAAAAATATACCATACTTATGCATACAACTTTAAGAACTGAGTTAACAAAGGGTCAAATATTGTTCCCATCAGATAGGAGCAGGATTGACTTAAATACACTACCAACAGCTGTAATGACAATATATAAGTAAGGGATTCATCCTGAATGGTTTGGGGCCTCATTCTGCCCCAAATGGGACTCAAATGGGAATTTTCAAATGGAGAGAAAATCTACAATTAAATAAATACAGTGAAATATAAAACAGATTCCTGGAACCTAAGTTAATTTGTAGGTTCTGGGTTTATTGAAGAATAAAAGCCTGACTATATTATTAGCATCTATTAAAAACAAAACAAAACAAAAATCTATGAGAGGAAGAAAGAAAAAGAAAGAAAGAAAGAAAAACAATGAAGCAGGAAGCCACCACCTTAAGAGAACTCTGCTACTAAAGACAGGAGATTAGCTCAGCTCATTTTAGTGCTGTAGTTCTTCTTTCAACATGTGTGTAAGTCCACACAACCTTTAGATGTTTTAGCTAACAAGAGCTGTAGAAATCCATGGCTTGAACTTTCAACATACTATGTGGCACCTTGTTCTTTTAAGCTCCCAGTGATGGGCAATAACCCCATTCCTTTCCCTGGCTACTGCTTTCATGTTTGTCTGGTGTCATCAAGCTGCCTATCCTGTTAGACTTATCTCTAAAAGTGAAGGGGGCCTGCATTAGACAAGTGAGATGATTCATGTACGTGGGTGTTGTGAAACATTTTCAGCTATTTGAAATACTGCCTTTAAGTTTCTTCTTTAATTTCCATATTCTTGCCTAAGTTAATTTTTCTGTAGTCATCGAGGGAACTAGTATAAATCAGTGAATCTTTCCCCTGTGTTATCAGCTGAGAAGAGCTAGGAAATGTTAAGAGCTCTCTATCTACAGCATGGTGTCTCAGACTCTTTTTGAACATGGCTGTTTCTTTTATACACAACACGGGAGCTGATTCAGAAAACCTAACCCTTGCCGTCAACATTTTGCCTAAGTAAGAAATGAAACAGAAGGCTCAGTGTTTATTCCGGGCAAAAAAAGAGATTATTGCTTTTACATAAGAAAGAACCTTTATGTCTTCAGGCAAAGTCTCTAATAAAAATTATGAATTTGCTGAATATGAGCTCTCATAAAAAGCTGTGGTCCAAAGAGTTAATCTAAGGTGATTCTTAGATTTATATAAGGAATCCCAAGTAAGAGTCCAGAGGCACCAATACAACCACTGCTGAACACACTTCATGAAGGATGGGGGGGGTGTTTGCAAGAATAGTTAAAGGATTAAAAAATGTACCTTATGAAGAAAAAATTTTGGAGCTTTAGTTTATGAGGACTTTGATGTAATCTATAAGTACCTCAAAGGGTAAATTTTATAATAGAAGTCTGTCTTGCACACAGATATAATGAAAAGTGCTGACTGGATTCTGAATCTAGACAGTGTCAGACTAGGTGCACATTTTTACCAGGATGGTTAATTAATCATTGAAACAAATTAACAAGTGTTGCAAAGGTTTGTCAGCAGTGGTAAGG